TTTTTTTTTCTCTTTTATTTCACTTTTCATTTTATTTCCTTTTGAGTTTTCTTGCTTTTATTTTTCTTCATTTTCTTTTGTATTTTATATTTCCTTTTTTATTCCGTTTATTTTTTATTCTCTTTATTTTTCATTTTCTCTCCCAGTGCTCCCCAGTAACACCCAGTGCTCCCCAGTAACACCCAGCAAACACCCAGTGCTCCCCAGTAATACCCAGTGCTACCCAAAAATTGACCCAAAACTGACCCAAAGCAGTGCTCCCCAGTAACACCCAGCAAATACCCAGTGCTCCCCAACAACCCCCAGTAACACCCAGTGCTCCCCAGTAATACCCAGTTCTCCCCAACAACCCCCAGTAACACCCAGTGCTCCCCAGTAACACCCAGTGCTACCCAAAAATTGACCCAAAACTGACCCAAATCAGCCCAAAAAATGACCAAAAACCGACTCGAATTCACCCCAAAAACTGACGCCAAAAACTGACACAAAACTGACCCAAATCACCCCCAAAAATTATCCAAAACTCACCCAAATCACCCCAAAAACTGACCCAAATAATCCCCAAAACTGACCAAAATCTCACCTCAAATCACCCCAAAAAATGACCCAAAACTGACCCCAAACACCCCAAAACCTGACCCCAAACCGGCCCTAAATCACCCCAAAAACTGCAAAAAAAACCCTCCGAAAACTGACTCAAATCAACCCAAAAACTGACCCAAAAACTGATCCAATTCGCCCCAAAAACTGATCCAAAACTGAAGCAAAACCGGCCCCAATCACCCCAAAATCTCACCTTAAATCGGCCCAAAATCTGAGCCCAAAACTGACCCAAATCACCCCAAAAAAAGGCTTCAAACCCTGACCCCAAACTGGCCCAAATCAACCCAAAAACTGCAAAAAAACTCCTCCAAAAACTGACTCAAATCAGCCCAAAAACTGACCCAAAAACTGATCCAAAACTGAAGCAAAACTGGCCCAAATCACCCCAAAATCTCACCCCAAACCGGCCCAAAATCTGAGCCCAAAACTGATCCAAAATCACCCCAACAACTGACCCCAAATCGGCCCAAAAACTGACCTAAAACTGACCCCAAACACCCCAAAAAATGTTGTTCCCTGCCTTTTCACTAAGAGATTGCCAGGGGCTGGGCCAGCCTG